CTCCCCTTTGTTGCCAGCTGACTACGTGATGTCCCTTTTGGATGGCTGATGCCTCAAAACTAGCCCCAAACCAAATCCCTCATTTCCCCACCTACCTCTCCAAACTGCTCCTCTCAGGCTCCTACATTTCAGTCAAGGGCAACTCCATCTTACTCGGGTCAGAAACCTGGATGTCTTACCAGCACAGTCTACTTCGCGTTCATGGGCAAACACCGAAGGCTCCACTGTCAACATATACCTCAAGGTTGACCGTGTCTTACCACCTCCACTGCTACAGTCTTATTCCAAATCATCCTAATCTCTTGCGTGGATCATTGCAATAGCCTCGTAACTGATCTTCCTGTGCCCACCATTGACCCCTGTGCTCTATTCTAAACCCCTCTCCCAGCATGATCCTGTTAAAACAAGCCAGGTCTGGGGCGCCTGGGTGGCGCAGTCGGTTCAGCGTCCGACTTCAGCCAGGTCACGATCTCGCGCTCCGTGAGTTCGAGCCCCGCATCGGGCTCTGGGCTGATGGCTCAGAGCCTGGAGCCTGTTTCCGATTCTGTGTCTCCCTCTCTCTCTGCCCCTCCCCCGTTCATGCTCTGTCTCTCTCTGTCCCCAAAATAAATAAACGTTGAAAAAAAAAAAAAAAAAAAAAACAAGCCAGGTCACATCACCCCAGCACTCACAATCCTCCCATAGCTCCTATCTCATGCGGAGAAAAAGCCAAGTCCCCTCGGGGATCTGTGGAGGTGCCCCCAACTCTGCCAGTGTGTCCACTGCAGACCCACCTCGGTATTTCACAGTCTCGTCTTGTACCTTTTAACTTTTTCTTCCTGCCTAGAATGCTCCTCCTCCCTGCTTGTCGGTAGAGCTCACTCCCTTCCCTCTTTCAAGTCTCTGCTCAAATGTTGTTTTCTCAGTCATTCTTTCTCCGATTTCCTGTCTCGGTCGGAGCCGAGTAGCACCTGCCCGACCGACCCTCACAGTCCCCACCCCGAAGAGCGTGCTTCTCTGGAGACTGGTCCCGATTAACATCCTGCAGACAGTATTTGTTTCCATCCGGGTCTGCCCTTCCCCACAAGAGTATAACTTCCATGAGGACAGAGGCTTTTATTATACCCATTTGTTCACTGTTACATCCCTAAAACAGTGCATGGCACCGTTGAGGTACTCAATAAATACTTAGTGAATAAATGAAGGATATTGCTGATTTTCTCCCACATTGAAGGACAGCCTAGCACTAGTCCCCATGATGCAGATATTGTGGGGGGCTAAGCTGGCCCTGGGCTATTCCTATTCTTCACTCTTGCTATGAGGAAGGCTTCCTGTTTTCTCAAGGTGAGGCAGTCCCAGTGCTGTGGGCCACGCGATCAGTAACTCCAGGCAGCAGTGGTGGCTTTCATGGCCTTCTGGGCTGGCATCCTTGGGTCTTCTGGAAAAATTTCTGCAGCCAGTTCGGTAGTCCAAATTGGGCCCAAACCTCAAACCAGTGGCTGAGTACATCGTGTTCTCAGCCTGGCATGCTGCTGTTATTTAACATCGGACACTGGGCCAAGACTCACTGTTTTCGGCTAAGTTGAAAACCAACCAAATATTGCATGGGATAAAATAATCCCCTTTCTTATAAGATTTCTCCCATTAAGCGTTTTATCTGAAACCTTAAATAATGCACGTCTACTGGAATACCACCCTTTATCATTTTCTTGGCCATTAAACAAAACACAGAAAACCCAGAGCTATCACGAGGAGTCAGTAGAGTGGGCATCTGTGAAGATTATGCTCTACGATTTTAGCAGCCTGTCACCTTCAATCTCTGAAATATTTAGTTTATTCGTCATTTTAATGAATACGTTCAAGCCTAGATAATGCCCCCTGTTAAATGCATACATTAGAATTTATTCCCTTCAAAAGGATCTAAACATGCAGTAAACTAACTCTAAAGGGAACACACAGTGGAAGAGAAAAAAATGCTTTTCCACGAAGAATTAGAATTGATACTGAAAAAAAACAAGAATGAAAGTTCATACCATTAGAATCTTGGCAAGAAAGTAACAAGACAGAGGGGAAAATATTATGAAAACAACTCTTTTGCCAAGCAGTTTGTAAATTATACTGTTAAATTCATAGATTTGGGGGGGGGTGGGAAGAAGCTATCCGTTGCAACCACATTCTGTCACAAATTATTCTCTGTCCCAGGCTGACAGCTCACAACCACATGGTTCCAAAAAAACAAAAGTGGAGAAAAGAGCATCCTGTGGAAAGGGATCGTAAAGATCTCCATTTCAGGAAAGACCGAAAGGGCAGGGCAGGCAGCCAAAGGCAGGAATGGCAGACACCCAGCGTGAACTTGAGATTCACGATGCACACCTCTGTGAGATTACCTCAGCCTGGTGACTTATGTCATCCCAACTTGTATGCACATTGATGCTTCCCGGATCAGTCCCCAACCCAGACATTCCAATCATCCCCTTCACTCTGGCACTGTCACAATGATCTGGTGGCCGTGCCCTGTTGCGGGCAAAGGGAGGGTCGCTCCCAGACAGCTCGGGGCAGCCCTCCTCTCCTTTTCTGAGTTGCTCTCCCATTTTGCGTGATTGCCACCATAATCTCATTGCAACTGTGTCCTGCGGAGATGGAACATTTCATTTTCTTGACCTGCAATGTGAAATGAGTTAAAAGTAGGTGCTAAAGAATGATAATATGGAGCTTATGCTAGCTGCATAGCAATGGGCTTGTCTGCTTTCCAAAGGGAATGAAAGGCAGCGAGGGAGTCTCTTTTCCTGTCCTAAAGATGTGTAGAGTATTCACCAGTTCTCATGGAGCAGGCCAAAGTGTTGGCTAAAGTCAAACACAACCAGTTGTTTAATTAACAGAAACAAACATGACCGTTGACAAGACAAACTCTTCCCTTACTGAGTGTTTACAATGTATGGGTTGTATCCGTGTTGTTTTTTTATACTTCAGTATTTTAGGCTAAATAAAGTTTTTCTAAATCTCTTTCCCAAGTGCTGTATTTACTGGCATAATTTAGTTACAAAGAAACTCAGCCAGTCAGTTATTTAGAAAATATATTTGGAGCATTTGAAATCTATTAACTACTGAGATAAATAGAATGGCTCCCAATATGCCAATATGCCAACATTTGGTAGAATAAACCAATTTCATTTTATTGTTTTAAAGTTAAGTTTTTTTAATTGAACAAAAAAGCCAAAATTCAAAAGCATGGCACCCTTTTTCCCTCTTGTGAATTTTACGTGTTATTTATTTTTACACGGATTTTTAAAAATTTTCATCTTTTTATAACGTACATATTTTATCTTTAAATCTTTCCTAGCAATTTATTTAATATTACAATATCCTGCAAACCCACTGCTTGGCTGTATGTTCCAGTGACATATTGGAGGGGTATACTTAAGATGTAATTACACTAAAAAGTAGTAAGCATTGTTAGTTTTAAGGTTTATCTGGATAACTAGTTTGAGGGATATCCATTCAAACAAGAGAGCAGGACATCCCCCTGAAGTTGTCAGAAAGAAAAATGACCTGAAACAGGCTATGCAGAAGGGTTTGTATCTGATAAGGAGTGATTTTTACATCACGCCTGCTCTCATTACAATTGTCACTTTGGTCGCAAAGCATGCGTGGATGGGAACTTATCTTCTGCCTTGTGTCTGTCCCCAGTCTTGACTAGCTTCATCTGTCTGATGGCCACATCTGGGTTCAAGATGCAGAATCTCTTATAAAATCTTAATATGAATACCTTTTGAAAGAAACATAGTTTATATGTTTCCAATGGAAACAGATGGAAAGCTCTAGCTAGACACTCCCTGTTTCCCTGTGTCGACTCATCTTAGAATAAGCCCAGCCTGCAATGCACCAGACACAGGGAGGGCTAAGTTTTTCCAAGAATCAGGTGAAGCGTGAACGGGAAACCCAGTGAAAGGGTAGAGGGGGGCGATATCAATATTCAGTTTCAATTACGTGGTTTTTTTTTTTAAACCAAGGAACACAAGAAGAATATTCTAAGGTGAGAGACTTGGCCATAAAATTCCTGCTTTCAGAATGATCTGTCCTGACCACGTGGTGAGGACAGTGGCTTGATGGCTAAGATGCTCAGCACTGTCACATTCTGATTAAGAGAGTAGAAGCCCTTAAAAAAAAAATGGATTCTGCGTAGTGAGTTGAACATTACATTCCTAGTATTTTCTCGTCCTGAACTCGTTTAGCTGAGGAAATGGATATTTCATCAGACGTGGATTTGACATTCCATCGCATTATGCCATAAACAGGACAAACGTTTGGGAAATGGGAAAGCAGGCGAGCTAAGACAGTAGTCACTGGAAGGCTCTGGTTATCTCATTTAAACAGATATTAAATGTGAGTGCCAGTAGTGTGATCATCAGCTGCTTCCCACTTTGTGCATAAATTGCTTAGAAGGAGTCTTTTGCCTACCAGATGTGACCTAGATTTAGAATTCCAAAGGCAGGGGAAAAATCTCTATTGTGTTAAAAAAACAATTGCTGGTAAAATGCATGGAAAATGAGCTTATCTCACTTTTCCAGGTGTTTGGGCTAATATGTTATAGAATTACTGCTTCACTTATGAAAAATAATTGAGGAAAATGTTCCAGCAAATCAAATTTGGATAAAGGCTTAGGATAGCTATTGTGTTGTTAGCAAGTTTTAAAACGGCAGAAAGGGCAGGGAGCCAATAGAGATAATAAAAATATAAAAAACTGTTTGAGAAGAGTCTCTTCTGAAAGGGTCAGCGCTGGGGGTGCTACCCAACTTCTGTTATGGCTTAGTAAAATATTGAAGAACAATATGAACAATTACCCTCCTTTCAGTGCATATGAAAGCTGTTGAAAAAAAATCAAAAGCTTGTCTGTCTGCTGGCTCTGATAAGTCGTATTACCCTGTTAAATGCAGCGATTTTTTTTTTGTTTGTTTTTAAAACATAACATCTTTATTCTCTTACCCACCGTCTGTCCTTTTTCATTTCCTTTTCATCTTTAGGAGCTGCCACCCCGAAGCCAGTTCCAGAACCCGAGAAGGAAACAGACCACACGGTCAAAATTGCTGGAGTCATTGCCGGCATCTTGCTGTTCGTCATTATATTCCTTGGAGTTGTGTTGGTAATGAAGAAAAGGTGAGCTCCCAGCTGTTGCCAGAGATGTGGTTCTACCCCGTCGTCTGCCAGTTTGCTTTGCGTGTGTGGGTGGTTTTCATGGCTAAGACACATCTGTGACTCTGTTGGTATTTTTCATCATATAGCGTTGAAGGTTATGAGGCAAAATTTAGAGTAATGGCTGTGGAGTTGTATGAATATGCAAAGTATATCATGCCAAGGTAACCTAAGGCCGTGTCTTCCCACACGTTGGTACGTAAAGCTCTACAAAATCTTTAAAAACATCTATCCGTCAGGGAATTTTTATTACCGATTACTGACGTACTAATGTAGTGGATGGTCTCAAGGACATGAGAAAGAAGAGATTTCCTTCTCGTTATAATGAAGATAATGGTGAATTTATCAAGCCCATGTTTCGTGTAGGCACCATGGTAGGGGCTTAATCAGCACAACACCCCATGACAAAGGGACTCTTAGAAAACAGCCTGATAGGAGCCCAGGCCATGGTGTGACTGAAAATAAGAGCTAAAACTCATTAAATGTTGTCACATGGCTCTGTCTAGCTGGGGGGTCGTGTGGGGGAGGAGAAAATGTGGCTATAGTCGTTGTGGCTATAATAAGCAATCCTCACCTCCCACACTTAAAAAATATACTGTGTCTATTGTATATAGAAATGAGTAAAAACTTAATGATACAATGTTCAACTTATGCAAAAATTATCAACATAAAAATATGTGGTAAGCAGTAGCATGAATTTTCCCCTCCAGAGATACTACTAGGTCTTAATCCTTTTCTCTGTAGTTTAAAAACAATTATAGACTGGAAGTAAGTCATGGATAGTAGGAGGTGAGGATGGAGAGGTCAGCAAAGCAAGGTCTTGAAAATCTTGTCTGTCATCTAAGGAGGCTGGTCTTGGTCCTGAGATCCACTGGTGGCCTTTAAGCAGGCGGTAATGTGATGTAATTTTTGTCTTAGAAAGATCACTCTGATGTTAGGGTTGAGCACCATGAGGAAGGAAAAGAGCTCAAGTCAGGAAGACCGGTTGGATGAGGAGGGGGCAGCTTTAGAATTGTTAGGTGGTAAGTTGTAGTAGCCATTTGAAGGCAGAAGCCCAGAGAAAAGGAGCAATTATAGAAAGAGCCTCGTTACTGACTTAGACAACTTAGGGAAGATGTTCCCAACTCAGAAAATGCGGAGTATGGGAAGTAGACATAGGCAGGGCACGAAGTTTGGAGAGGTAGGCATGTCACTTTTTCAGTTCACTGTTCCTATTAAGGTTAGTGGAAATGTCCGCGGGACAGTTGGCTGTGCTGGTGTGGACTCGGAATAACAATTTCCATAGTCAGGTCAGCACCCTATGGCGGGCTGAAGCCCTGGATTTGGATGAGATCCCTCAGTGTCCTTGTAGAGTGAGAAGGAAGTTAAGGATGAAGGGTAAACCTTGGGGAACCCAGTATCTAAGGGGTGAGTTCTTATCTATCTATCTATCTATCTATCTATCTATCTATCTATCTATGTATTTTTTAAAAATTTTGTATTACATTTATTTTTGAGAGCCAGAGTGAGGCAGAGCATGAGTGGGGGAGGGGCAGAGAGAGATGGAGACACAAACTCCGAAGCAGGCTCCAGGCTCTGAGCAAGTGTTCAGCACAGAACCCGATGCGGGACTAGAACCCACGAACCGTGAGATCGTGGCCTGAGCCGAAGTCGGACACTTAACCGACTGAGCCACCCAGGCGCCCCTCTATCTATCTATCTGTACACACACACACGTATGCATCTTTTCTTGCTCTGTCCTTTGTCTTATGTTTACTGTTCTACATAGGCCTCAGGACAAACCATCACTCTGTCTCAGCTGCACACGTTACTAATGAGTCCCCATAGTTTGCCACTTCTTTCCCACTTGCTTTACATCCTCAATTTCTTTCTCTCTTTTTCCACCCGTCATTTAATTTCTCCTCTTATTTTTCTTCCCATTTTTTTGTCTTGTGATGAGAACTTTTAAGAGCTACTCTCTTAGGAACTTTAAAATATGCAACCTGGGATTATTAACTATGGTCGCCATGTTGTACATTATGTCCCATGACTTATTAGTTTTATAATGGAAGTCTCCTCATTTTTAATTCTTTCTTTTTTCTTTTCATTTCACTTCCCTGTAACTTCCTTCTCTTTATCCTTCTTCTTCTCTAGCTATTTATCTCTTTATTTCTTTCTCCTGTCCATTTTCTCTTTTTTTATTTCTTCTTCTCTTACTTCTCCATCACCTCTTATGCATTTTTCTCCCAGATGTTTTGCATTGCCCCCCCACCTCAGTGTTCATTCAGAAGACTTATCTTTGCTACCAGTGATTAATCCTGTTTTTTTTTTAAATATTATTCACTATAAAATCAAAGTAATACTAGGCCTTTCCATGCCTGGATATTCAAACTAAACATTCTGAAGGGATTTATTTTTAGTTGAGGGAATATGTTGCATTTCTGTGTCATCTGGCAAGCTCTCTATGAGGAATAGCCTGAAACTACTAATCCAGTTGCCCTTGTGACCTTAGCTAAATGTCATTTCATCCTCCAAGGGTCTATTTCCGCTGGATTAATTCATTATTCTACCTAGGTCTCTCAGGTAGTCATGGAGGTTATGTTATAAATTATGCATTTGAAGAGATTGCCTCCGGTAACATATGGTCTTGATACAACATTAGACTAAATACCAATAACTCATATCAAATTTATATGATTATTTACTAGGTAATGATCTTAAAAAGGTTGTTTTCATATTATGTGCCACTTTTGTATTTGTTTTTTTCTGAAATACAGAATGTGCTCTCTGTGGGGTAAATTTACCAATATATCATTCCTATAAATATAAAACTTACAAGATTTAGACCTGAATAGTCATGTCATATTTAATAGGAATTCTGACAAATTCTAAGTGTTCAGGGTTTTTCTCCAAAATTTTAGTCTAAATTTTAAGTTGTATTTTTAAATAGTTAAAACATGATATTTTATCTATCTAGGGAGAGAGAGCACACATGTGAGCAGGGGAGGGACAGAGAGAGAGAATCCCAAGCAGGCTCTACTCTATCAGCATGAGCCCAATGCGTGGCTTGATCTCATAAACTGCAACAAGATCATGGCTTGAGCCGAAATCAAACGTCAGACATTTAACCAACTGAGCCACCCAGGCGCCCCTAAAACAACGTGTTAACGATGGATAAGTTGCAGATGTATCATTGGTAGGGAATAAGCCACACTCTTTGGTTAGAAGAACACTGAATTGTTTTTGTTTTTGTTTTTGTTTTATTGAGGTCTGCCATATGACATTGTATTAGTTTCAGGTGTATAACATCATGATTCAACATTTGTATATACTGTGAACTGATCAGCACAATGAATTTAGTTAATGTCCCTCTCACATTGTTACAAAATTTCTTTTCTTGTGGTAAGGACTTTCAAGGTCTCCTCTCAGCAACTTTGAAATATATGCTACAGTATTATTAACTAGGGCTGGACATTACTTCCCCCGACTTACTTATTCTATAGCTGGAAATGTGTACCTTTTGACCCCCTTCACCCGCTCTGCTCACCTCCCACCACACGCAGAAGAACACCGAATTTAGATTTGCAATCCCTAGGTCTTTATTTTAAGTTTGTGATTCTGAGCTTCTCTGGGCTTTGGAGTCCTCATTTGTGAATGAATTGAGAGCATAACATGGGATGATCTCTGTAGTTCCTCCCACTTCCAGTCAATTGGTCAGGTGTTCCATATGTAGTGGCCTATGGTGACACTGTACGTTTGCTATTCTGGAAATACAGTGGGTAGCTTATTGCCATATTTCATTATTTAAACGTACTCCATAGTTCTTCCAAAGACTGTCTTTGTTCAGTTGGCTCAAGTCTAGAAGTGTTACTTGGTGAAGAGCTTATCTCTTAGCCCCGTGTCCTGCTGTCACACAGCAGGCACTCAATTAAAAGGAAGGAGCAGGGAGGGGAATGAAAATGGGGAAGGAGAGAGAGGGAAGGAAAACAACTGCCTCAGGTGCAGTTAACCTGATGCTAATCGGAGTTGGACTCCTTCCTGCATGGGCGAGTTAGTCCACGTTGCTTCTGCCCTCACGCTCGGCCATAGCCCATGCAAATATGTGCCATTGGTCATAAAGACAGACTGGGCCCAGGAGAAAGGGTGCTGAAACAAACTCATCAATATTTCTGGAAATACAATTGGAAGTCTGTCCTGCTGAGGAAAAGTCAGTAGTTACCGTCTGTGTTTATCAGCACGCCAGGCCAGATGGGCCTGAGCCCCTGGGAGGTGGGGGACAGCAAATTTAATTAGGAGGCATTGCCAATTATTAGCTTAGCTCAGATCATATTGCTTTCTGAAGGGTAGGCCTTTTATTTTTTTTTTTTTTTAATTTTTTTTTTCAACGTTTATTTATTTTTGGGACAGGGAGAGACAGAGCATGAATGGGGGAGGGTCAGAGAGAGAGGGAGACAGAGAGTCGGAAACAGGCTCCAGGCTCTGAGCCATCAGCCCAGAGCCTGAAGCGGGGCTCGAACTCACGGACCGCAAGATCGTGACCTGGCTGAAGTCGGACGCTTAACCGACTGCGCCACCCAGGCGCCCCAGGGTAGGCCTTTTGTAAAAAGTGGTTGCTGGGGCGCCGGGGTGGCTCAGTTGGTTAAGCCTCCAACTCTTGGTTTCAGCCCAGGTCATGATCTCACGGTTTCTGAGTTCGAACCCCGCCTCCAGCTCTGCACTAACAGCACAGAGCCTGCTTGCAATTCTCTCTCTCTTTCTCTCTCTCTCTCTCCCTCTCTTTCAAAATAATAAACAAACTTAAAAAAAAGTAGTTGCTGAAGGTAGGCCCCTAATACATAAAATCCATTCGATTCATGTTAACTCATGGAATTCTTTCACATCGAGGCAATAATGACTGAAAACTGAGATAACCATCAGTTTTATTTGGCTATAATGTTTTACAAAGTTACCACAAATGAATGACTAATTGTTCACTTGTTTATGAA